TAGGCGATCTTTGGGGGCTGTTGGGCCGTATCGGGCCGTCGGAAGGCCGAAACGAAGCAACTGTCAAAATCCGTCAACAACCTATGGGCACTCAATGTTGTTGGCCTTTTCTGGCCTTCCTGGAGGCCTTCTTGGAGGCCTCTTGGGCCGTCTTGGGCCAGCTTCGAGCCAACTTCGGCTATCTTGGTGGGCTCCTGGCCCGTCTGACGCCGTCGGAAGCCGTTTGGGGGGGCTTTCTGGGCTGACTTGGGGCCTTCTTGGGGCGCTCCAGGGCCATCTTGGAGGCCATCTTGGGCGTATTGGAGGCCTCTTGGGTCGTCTTTGTGCCCTCTTGGGGCCGTCTTGGGGGCCTCTTGGGCAGTCCTGAGGCAATCTTGCAGGCCTCTTGGGCGCTGTGGGGGCGATCTTGGGGGCCTCTTGGGCCGTCTTGGGTCGTCGGAAAGCCGAGAAGAAGCGAATACCAAAATCCTTCAAACACCTACGGAAAATCAATGATTTTGGCTTCTTCGGGCCCTCCTGGAGGAAAGGACCTCTTGGAGGCCTTTGGGGCCGTCTTGGAGGCTTCTGAGAGCCTCTTGGGCCGCCTTGGGCCGTCTTGGCCTCTCTTGGGCCGTCTTGGAGGCCGTCTTGAACCGTATTGGGCGAACTTGGAGGCCATCTTGGACCATATTGGAGGCCATCTTGGGCTCACGTGACCATCTTGGAGGACATCTTGAGGCGTCTTGGAGGATTTCTTGTGGACGTTCAGGCCGTTTGCAGGCTTTCCGCAGGGCCGGCGGAACGGGCCGAAGCGCCAGGGGGGTTCTTTTGGAAAAGGAACCAAAACCAAAACCGAAAGGATCCAGCACGCCAGGCACCCCTGCGATGAATCGACAGGGGGCGGCGGATCGAAGACGCCTACGGCGAATCACCGCCGCCCCCTGCCTTTTTGGAAGCGCCCATGTGGCCGAACGTTGAGGCCAGACCTGCCAAGCTGTCGGACCACGTGTTCCCCGAATCGATTTGTAAAGCCTTCGGGGAACACGTGGGCATCTTGAAGGTCATCTTGGCCGCCTGGAGGCCATTTTGACCCTTTCGGGCCTTCTTGGAGGACGTCTTGGAGGGCGCTTGGGCCGTCTTGGAGGCCATCTTGAAGGTCTTGGAGGCCTTTGGCCCGTCTTGGGGGCCTCTTAGGGCCGCCTTGGGTCTATTGGGCGATCTTTGGGGGCACTTGGGCCGCCTCGGGCCGTCGGAAGGCCGAGCAAAAACAACTGCCATAATCCTTCAAAAACTGAAGGGAAATCAATGATTTTGGCCTTTTCATGCCTTCCTGGAGGCCCTCTTGGAAGCCGTCTTGAGCCGTCTTGGGCCATCTTAGTGCCATCTGCGGCCGTCTTGGTGGGCCCCTGGCCCGTCCGACGCCGTCGGAAGCCGTTTGGGGGGCTCGCTGAGCCGCCTTGGGCCCTCCTGGAATAATGCTCCAGGGCCGTCTTGGAGGCCATCTTGGGCGTCTCAGAAGCCTCCTGGGCCGTCTTGGAAGCCTCTTGGGGCCGTCTTGGGGGCCTCTTGGGCCGTTCTGGGGTCATCTTGGAGGCCTCTTGGACGATCTTTAGACGATCTTTGGGGGCTGTTGGGCCGTATCGGGCTGTCCGAAGGCCGAAACGAAGCAACCTTCAAAATCCGTCAAAAACCTATGGGCACTCAATGTTGTTGGCCTTTTCTGGCCTTCCTGGAGGCCTTCTTGGAGGCCTCTTGGGCCGTCGTGGGCCAGCTTCGAGCCAACTTCGGCCATCTTGGTGGGCTCCTGGCCGGTCTGACGCCGTCGGAAGCCGTTTTGGGTGCCTTCTTGGGCCGACGTGGGGCCCTCTTGGGGTGCTCCAGGGCCGTCTTGGAGGCCATCTTGGGCGTCTTGGAGGCCTCGTGGGTCGTCTTTGTGCCCTCTTGGGGCCGCCTTGGGGGCCAAGTGGAGGCCTCTTGGGCGCTGCGGGGGCGATCTTGGGGGCCTCTTGGGCCGTCCTGGGTCGTCGGGAAGCCGAGAAGAAGCGAGTGCCAACATCCTTCAAAAACCTAAGGCAACTGAATGATTTTGGCTTCTTTGGGCCCTTCTGGAGGACCTTGGAGGCCTCTTGGGCCGTCTTGGAGGCCTCTTGGGAGCCTCTTGGGCCGTTTTGGGCCATCTTGAGGCCATCTTAGGCCGTCTTGGGTGCATCTTGGGCCATCTTGGAGGCATCTTGGGGCCATCTTAGCCATCTTGGAGGCCATCTTGGCCGTCGTGGAGGCCATCTTGGAGCCGGAACGGAAAAACTCTGTGCAACCACCTCTGGGCAATCCTTCCGGGTGGCCAGCGGGACGGGTCGAAGCCCCAGGGTGAGTTCTTTTGGAAAAAGAACCCAAACCAAAACCGAAATAGTCTAGCACGCCAGGCACCCCTTTGCTGAAGCAAAAGGGGGCGAGGGATCGAAGACGCCTACGGCGAATCACCGCCGCCCCCTGCCTTTTTGGAAGCGCCCATGTGGCCGAACGTTGAGGCCAGACCTGCCAAGCTATCGGACCACGTGTTCCCCGAATCGATTTGTAAAGCCTTCGGGGAACACGTGGGCATCTTGAAGGTCATCTTGGCCGCCTGGAGGCCATTTTGACCCTTTCGGGCATTCTTGGAGGACGTCTTGGTGGGCTCTTGAAACCGTCTTGGAGGCTATCTTGAGCGTCTTGGAGACCTCTTGGGCCGTCTTGGGGGCCTCTTGGGGCCGTGTCTGGGGCCTCTTGGGCGATCTTTGGGGGCACTCGGTCCGTCTCGGGCCGTCGGAAGGCAGAAAAAAAACAACTGCCACAATCCTGCAAAAACCCATGGGAAATGACTGATTCTGGCCTTTTCGGGCCTTCCTGGAGGCCCTCTTGGAGGCCTCTTGGGCAGTTTTGAGCCATCTTAGGGCCATGTTCGGCCGTCTTGGTGGGCTCCTGGTCCGTCTGACGCACTCGGAAGCCGTTTGGGGGGCCTCTATGGGCCGACTTTGGGCCCTCTTGCGATGCTCCAGGGCTGTCTTGGAGGCCGTCTTGGGCGTCTTAAAAGGCCTCCTGTGCCATCTTGGGGGCCTCTTGGGGCCGTTTTGGGGCCCTCTTGGGCCGTTCTGGGGCCATCTTGGAGGCCTCTTGGGCGATCCTTGGGCGATCTTGGGGGCCTCTTGGGACGTCTCGGGCCGTCGCAAGGCCGAACAAAAAGGCAATGCCAAAATCTGCTAAGAACCTTTGGACAATCAAGGTTTTTTGGCCTCTTCTGGCCTTCCTGGAGGCCCTCTTGGGGGCTTCTTGTGCCGTCTTGGGCCAGCTTCGAGCCAACTTCGGCCATCTTGGTGGGTTCCTGGCACGTCTAACGCCGTCGGGAGCCGTCTTGGGGGCCTTTCTGGGCCGACTGGGGGCCCTCTTGGGGCGCGCCGGGCCGTCTTGGAGGCCATCTTGGGCGTCTTGGAGGCCATCTTGGGCGTGTTGGAGGCCTCTTGGGCCGTCTTGGGGCCCTCTTGGGGCCGTCTTGGAGGCCACTTGGGCCGTCAAGGGGCCCTCTTGGGGGCCTCTTGGGCGATCTTGGGGGCCTCTTGGGCCGTCTTGGGCCGTCGGAAAGCCGAAAAGGCGCACATGCCAAAATCCTTCAAAAACCTAAGGAAACTCAATAATTTTGGCCTCTTCGGGCCTTCCTGGAGGACCTCTTGGAGGCCTCTTGGGCCGTCTTGGAGGTCTCTTGAGAGCCTCTTGGGCCATCTTGCGGCCATCTTAGGCCGTCTTGGGTGCATCTTGGGCCATCTTGGAGGCATCTTGGGACCATCCATCTTAGCCGTCTTGGAGGTCATCTTGGCCGTCGTGGAGGCCATCTTAGGCCATCTTGGAGCCGTCTGGAACGGAAAAACCCTTTGCAACCACCTCTGGGCAATCCTTCCGGGTGGCCGGCTGGACGGGCCGAAGCCCCAGGGGGAGTTCTTTTGGAAAAAGAACCCAAACCCAAACCCATATAGTTTTGCACGCCAGGCACCCCTTTGCTAAAGCAAAAGGGGGCGGCGGATCTCATGGCCTTCGGCCCATCCCGCCACCGGGCTCGTCTTGGGGCCCTCTTGTGCCCGAAACAGTTTCGCGAGAAGACGCGCCAAGCCCAGGAAAATTTGAGACTTTGGGGTCGGGGCCCCTTGAAGACCCCTTGGGACTGAGGAGGCTCAGAGGATTGGGCCCAGGACCTGTGGACACGGTACGGTGGCGGATATTGAAGCTTGTATATTTAAATTGGGTCGACGAGCTTGAGCTGTTAGAGTAGTAAGAGGTACCAGTAACCGCGTGAGGCGAATCATAATAGTCTAACGCGCTGGAGTATTCACAACGGTCCTGGGAATCAGTCATGTTGGTAGCACAGATGATGTATCGTGTTGGGAGCAGTTGGAATAGTCAATATGGTTGCAAGTACGGGTAAACATGGGACTATCACCATGATGTTTACACGGGTACGCATAGTTACATGAAGTGCGGGTTAGGATGGGGCAGCAGTTGGTTTAAGCAGGCGATGTAAGGGTTATGCGGTGTGTTGCAGCACATGCGCAACCTATAGAAGATCCCTCTGACCCATGATACGTGTTAGATAGTCAACCGCACACACGCCGTTAGAATTCTCAGAGTGCCTAGGCGACCTAGACAAGTATAGAAAACATGTAGATGGGACGTGTGGTGGGACACATGTCAAAAGAGCTAGGCGAGACAGGCGATCTAGAATAGTCACAACTATTAGTACAGTTCGGAGGGTGCGAAGGTATTAAAGTGACACTGCTTAGAAGAGGTAGGTGAGTGAGACGAGCTTGTGGAGTTCGAATATGACAAGAAGCTAGAAACGCAAAACTGACATCTGCGCCCAGCTCCCCAACCTTCTTATCACCTGACGGTGTGGTTGTGTCTGTAAGTATGCCTGGGTCCAGGGGGCAGGACCACCAGCATGGGGCGCAACGTGAAATGACCGACTATGCTAGTCCCTGGCCCCCCCCCGCCAAGAGGCGATGAACATGGAGTTGCGGCGCTACGCCATGGGTCGCCAGCGTAGCTCTGATGCAGCGAGGCACGCGTTTCCAGTTTCTGCTGCTCTCTGCGAGATGGCTTCTCGGAAGTGCAGCCCATGGGCGCAAGCGACCGAGCGGACGATTCTAATTGCCAAGCGATTCGAGGATAACATGGTAAAGGGGGAAGAGGACAAGGAGGAACAGCTATTGCCCGATCGTGTCCAGTACTTCGTGACGTAATCTTTCCTCCCTGAATGAAATCATGTCGCATGCTTGCGCTTGACGGCGTACGGGACCAGTGCACATGTAGAAGGAGCCGAGCACGACAGTTAGGAAGCCACTCCGCGAGCAGGGTCCTGGATAGATTGCCTTTTTCCCTCTCCCCCCCTGCCCTCATCCACCATATCCCTCCCTTCCCCCGCTTGCTCAATCCCTCCCCCGCGGCCTTTTGTCATCGCCTTTTCCCCCCTCGCCCCTTCACTTCCATCTGCACTCCGTCAGTCTCACGACCTAGTCGCCCTCCACCTCCCGCCTCGTCTTCCCCTACCTCCCCACAGGCAGACCATGCAGGAGGCGGCGGAGGCTGTCCAGGACGCATCAACATTGCTCAAGGGGAAGGCCACTAGTGATGGTCGTCTTCTTCGTGGTCACCGTCTTCGCCGTCGTGGTCGTCGTCGTCGTCGTCGTCACCTCAGCGTCTCAGCATTGCTCAAAGGGATGGTCGCCTTTTTATTTCCTGGAAAGGGCGCAGGCCCAGGGTTGTCTTTTAGTACATAAACTTAGTGCCCTGCCTCAATCTGCGTAGGGCCAGCGAAATTATTCAGTTGCGAGGTCGCGTAAGACCAACGAATTAAGTTTTTGAGGATGTCTCAGGGGAAACTCCTTTTTCTATAAAGTTTGTCGAGTGTGTCTTAGGCGAAACGCTGGTTTTGCAGAGTTGGGGGATGTCTCGAGGGGGGGGGGGAGAGTCAGGGGGATGTCTCAGGCGAAATGTTTGTTTTCACATGACCAGATCGCCCAGAGGGGGTAACCGACAGCCCCTGATATCAAAGTATACCCCCCCCCTCTGAACCACTGAGTGATTATTATCCACGGCCAATACAGATTTGCTCGTGGAAGAGGGGCGGCACGGCCGAACTTAATCGCGAGAGAAACTTGCGAATCGAAGTTGCTCTCTTCAAATGCTGAGTAGCAAGGATTCCTAAGCATTCATGTTGATTTCGTCAGTAATCCGATGGATAACCCAAGGAATCCTAGGGATATCCTACGGACTCCTATGGATTTCCTGAGGATTCCTAGGGATGTCCTAAGAAAATCCGATGGATGTCCCAAGGGATCCTGTGGATGTCCTAAGGAATCTTATCGATTTCATCAGGAACCCAATGGATTTCCTAAGGGATCCCATGGTTGTTCGACGGAATCCTATTCAGGGATACTGTGGATGTCCGGGAGCATCTTAACCGAGTTCATTAGGAATCCGATGCATGTCCTAGGGAATCCTATGGATGGATGTCCTAAGGAACCCGATGGATTTCTTATGGGATCCTGTTAGGAAATCCAGCGGATTCCTTGGGAAATTCATTGGAGTCCTTAGGACACCCACCGGAATCCTAGGGAAATGCATCGGATTCCCCAGGAAATCCATAACATTCCTTAGGAAATCGATCGGGTCCCTTACGACATCCATATGATTCCTTAGGACATCCTTTCATAGGACTCCTTAGGACATCCATCGGATTCCGGATGAAATCAATACTATGCCTTAGGACATCCACAGGGTCCCGGACGAAATCCATAAGATTCCGTCGAGCAGCCATGGGATCTCTTAGGCAGCCCATGGGATTCCTGATGACATCGATAAGATTCCTGGGGACATCCACAGGATCCTTTTGGACATCCATTGGGTTCCTGAGGACATCCACTGGATCCCTTCGGGCCCTTCGGGAACCCATTGGGATCCTGAGGAATTCCGTAGGATTCCTTCGGAGATCCATCGGATTTTTTGGACATCTATAGGACTCCGTCAGAATTCCATAGGGTTCCTTAGGACATCCACAGGATTCGTCAAGATAACCCATATGACTCCTTAGGACATTCATAGAATTCCTCGGGTAACCTATCGGATTCCTTCGGACATCCATTGGGGTCCTTAGGCAATTCGTTGGAGTCCGTGGGGAATGCGTAGGATTCCTCAGGACACCCATCGGATTTCTCAGGACGTGTGTAGGAATCCGTAGGATACCCACCGGATTTCGCAGGACATCCACAATATTCGTCAAAGTAGTGTTTCTGCTAAGTGAGCTTCTGTTCTGCTAAGTGCGCTTCCAATGTGCTTTATCCTGTTGCCAGCCCCGCCTCCTGCTAATGGTGTTTCACAGCAGCTCATGTCAAGTTGCATGGGGAGCTTTGGAAAGCAACTCCTCCTTCTCCTTCTCCTCCTCCTCTCCTCCTCTCCTCCTCCTCCTCCTCCTCCTCCTCCTCGTGCTCCTTCTCTCCCTCTCGTGATTTCGCACCCCCAACAGTGGAAGTAGATGGTTCATGCCCATCTGCACGTACATGGGGCATGTGGCATACGCATTGCTCTTGCATGGGGTGCCATTGCATTGCAGCGCACGGCACTGCATTACGACGCATGGCATTGCATTCCTGTTGCATCTCTCCCCGCTGCGCTGCCTCACCTTGCGTTGTGAGATTATGCCAACTTTGGGCTCCTTGTTGCCGGGGGCGAGGTGGCCTGGCCCATTTAGCTCGGGAGCTCTTCGCATCTCTGGGATTCAAGATGCAATGCGCGAAGTGGTCTGGTCCGTTTCACCTGAAACATCCTCGCAACTCTGGGTTCAGAGATGCCCCGAAACTTGAGGAGGTACAACCCGTTCCGCCTTAGACATCCTCGCAATTTTGGTCGAAGACGTGCCGCGCGCGAAGTGATCTGACAAATTTTGCCTCAGACGTTCTCGCCTGAAACATCTCCCCAACTCTGCGAGATACCGCGCGCGAGGTGGTCTGGCCAACTTCGCCTGGTACATTTTCGCAGCTCTGGGCTCCTAGATGCCGCGAGCGAAGAAGCGTGACCGGGCTCGCTTGAGGATCCTTTCAACTCCGGGCTCATTTTTTTGGCTTGATATGGTCCCGCCCAAATCGCCTGAGACATCCTTGCAACTTTCGGCTCAGAGATACCTTTCGCGAGGTCTATTGGCCCAATAATCGCCAAAGGCATCGTCGCAACCCTGGGATCGGAGATGCTCCGACCTGAGTTGTTCAGCCCGATTCGCAAAGGACATCGTCGCAACTCTGGGTCCAAAACTGCCTTGACCTGAAGTGGTCCAGCCCAGCTCGCCCGGGGCATTCTCGCAACTCTGGGATGCGGGATGCCAGGCGCGAGGTAGTCCAGCCAAACTCGCCTGAGACATCCTCGCAACTCTGTTTCTGAGATGCCGCGTGCGAAGAGGTCTGGCTGATTCTGCTTGCAGCGTCTTCTCAGCTCTGGGTTTCAAGATGTCGCGCGCGGGCTCAGAGATACTTTGACCTGAGGTGGTTAAGCTCGTTTCGACAGAGACATCGCAATTCCATGCTCAGAGATGCCGCGCGCGAGGTGGTTTGGCCCGTTTCGCCTGAGACCTCGCAATTTCGGTTTAAGAATTGTTGTGGCCCGAGGTGGTCTGGCCCAAAACCGCTCGAGACATACTCGCAACTCTGCGTCCGAAGTTGCGACGCGCGAGGCTGTCCGCTCTGGTTCGCCTGAAACATAATCGCAACTCTGTGTTTCGAAATGCTCCTGACTTTAGGTGGTTTGGCCAATTTCACCTGAGACATCTTCGAAACTCTGGGCTCAGACATGCCGCGCCAGAGTTCATTTGGCCAATCTCGCCTGACGCACCCCCGCAACTCCAGGCTCAGAGATGATGCGCTCGAGGTACTCTGGCCAGATTTGCTTGATCCATGGTCGCAGCTCTGGGCTCCAAGGCGCCGCGTGTGAGATGGTCGGGCCAATTTCGCCTGAGACCTTCTCGCAACTCTGGGCTGCGAGATGCCGCGCGCGAGGTATTCTGGTTAGTTTTGCCTGATGCATGCTCACGACTGGGCTCCGAGAGGTAGGAGAGAGGAGTCAGACAGGGCCGAACCAACCCTACTTGTCACATTACATTTCTGATATCGAATTGTGCCCAAGAGTGGGCCCAGGCGCCCCTGCCCCGAGGGGGCAGCTAGCTGGCGCCAAGGCGAAGACATTCTGTTAGAGTCATGTGACGTCTCAGGCGGGGGGGGCGCCAAACCTCAGTGCACGCCGACATTTCCAGCGAGAGGAGAAATAAAAGAACCAGGAGGATAACTAGGAGAGTAGGGGCGAGAACAACCAGGAGGAATAGCAGCACGAGCGTCTTAAGGAAAGGAGGAAAAAGAAAGACGAGGAAATGAAACGGGATGACATGGGGGGGGAGAAGGGGGAAACGAAGGGGAGGGGGAAGGAGGGGTGGAAGAGGAGGAGGAGGATGATGATGATGATGATGATGATGACGAGGAGGAGGAGGGGGAGGAAGAGGAGGAGGTGCGGGACGGGGATAGGGCGACAAACATGGCAAGGGAGGCGATTCCAGCAATGACGACGACAGCGACAACAAGGGCGCGGGCAAATCAGGGGTGGAAGGATGATGATTTTGAGGACGCGCAAACATTGTTTGGAGCCACCCTGGCTCAAAACCGCCGTTGGGGATGCTGGACCGAGTTTCTAAATATGCTTGTTGACGATGCTTCTCCGCTTCGTGTTCCTTCTTGTACTGGTCCTCCTGCTGCTGCCTCCTCCATCCCCCCCATGCCTCTCATCCGGTTCCTCCTTGTAGGCTCTCCTCTTCGTCTTTCTCGTCCTGATGTGCCCCCCCCGCCCCCCCTTTCTCCTCCAGAGTTCTGCAGGGCCCGCGTGTACTGATGATGTCGATGCTTAAGCCGGTTTTGCACCTGTCGGTACCTGCGTCGCTATCGATGCTGGCGCCAGTGCCGACGCCGGCGCAG